AAACGTATTTTCTCCACAAATACATTTTAAATGGAGCCCAAACAAGGGCATATTATTTACAAACTAATTTACATTACCGGGATGAATAACCATTTAAGGAACGTGAAGTCGTGACAACTCTTGAAACCTGTTTCTATTATTTAGGCCTTTTTATTTGTTCTTTCTTTTTCATAGAAGATGGAAATTAAAATCCATTTGCACACTTTTGCATGTTTGATAAATTTTCCATGGAATTTGTTTTCCACATTTTCTTGATTTTTGAGGAAAAACTTTTTTTTTTTGGCAATTGAAACAAATTCTATCCTCAATTGTAACCAATTGTATCCCTTTAATGGACAATTTTCATAAAAAACAAAGTTAAAGGAATACCAAAAGATCCAAATTTTCAATATTTTTCTGGTGAAAAATTATACCAATCAAACGCAATTAATTGACAATTCCCAATAAAACGAATTATAGACAATTCAATTCCCCAAATTTCTTTTCACCAAAATTTCATTCTTGTAATCAAACGAACCCTTATTTAGTTTCGAAATCAGCAATATTTTTCAACAATCTATAATAAAGAAAGCGAGGCAGGCTAAGATTCAATTTGAACTTTGATGTTGCACTGTTTTCAACTATTATAGTAATTGTTCATATTATTTTATGGTAACATCAAATTGTATTTACTTTGTCGAAACTCAATGAGTGTCTTCAACTTAGATTTTGATGGAATTTAAAAGATTATAAATTTCAACGAATTTCGTGAATCTGAATAGATTTTCACAAAATTCACAAAAATCTCATTGAAAATTGTTAAATTTCAAAAGAATTTATTATGTGTATTTTTAAGCAGGAAATACATCCAAATCTTTTAAAATTTCTCTATTAATGAAATCATTTTAAAAGTATGTGAGTTATTGAGAATACTTTCATTGAAATTTATCAAAATCTCAGTTGGGGACACCTATATTATAGTTGATTTTCATTCAAATCCATTAAAATCTCAATTGTGAATACATGACTTTAGAACGATTTTTAAAATTTATCAAAATCTCAGTCGAGGATACCTAGCTCCTAATTGATTCCCATTATCCCAAAACTCATTTTTTTCTCAAACTTATTTTAAATCACTCATTCTCACAATAAAATAATATTGTGCACGTAATCCGATTTTTTTCTTACTTTTCAATCTTACTTTCTTTAAAAATTCACTAGTACAAAACTTATATTGATAAAATTATGAGCATTAACCAGTATGGTACAGTTTTGTTTTAAGAAAATGCATCAAATCTTACCTCAACCAAAGTTTAGTTTTGCATTTTTCTAACATTTGTCCGTTGGTATTATGTCTCCAATTTTTACTTGCAACCCTATTTGGCCTCCATTCTCCAAAAATACATTTTTTCTTTCTTATTTTCAACTACACATTTTTCAATAAAAAAATATTACATATAAAATTGAAACTTTTCTTATTTTTTAACCACACATCCTCAAAAATTTTACCATTCAAAAATGTATTTTCCCACAAATACATTTTTAATGGACCCCAACAAGGGCATATTATTTACAAACTAATTTACATTACAGGGATGAATAACCATTTAAGGATGGTGAAGTAGCTATGTCAACGAGCCGAGNTTCATTGCTCACTATACTTTAAAAACGTGATTGATTGCTAACTATACTTTGAAAAACGTGTTTGATTACTCACTATACATTGGAAAATGTGTACAATTGCTCACCATACTTTGAAAAACGTTTTTGATTGCTCACTCAACATTCGACTTCATTTTCATAAGTTTGGTAGTTAAAATTCTACCACTTTTAAAGTTCAATGAACAGTCAAAGACGTTTTTCAAAATATAGTGAGCAATCGAAAACATTTTTCAAAGTATAGTGAACACTGAAAAACGTTTTTCTACGTGGTAACAATAACATGACAACACTTGGACATTTTGTCGCCACTTTACCACTTTCGTTAGAGGTTATGTCAACACTTGATAAAAGTGCTTTTCAGCAGTTATTGCCTTTTCTTACACAACTTTCCAACAATTATAATATGGTCCTCTACTTTGTAGAATTTCATTCAATTCTCGAACTCTTTCAAATTACACCCTATAGTACTCCAATAGCATATTATTCCAGTAAATTTTAAAATTTTGCAGTCTCATTTTTAGTCCATATGGATTTCAAAAACCGTGTTACTATTATGACAGTTGATCTTTGTATCTTGAAAGACATGTCCCGATAAATCTTAAAAACCAGTATGGTACAGTTTTGTTTTAAGAAAATGCATCTAATCTTACCTCAACCAAAGTTTAGTTTTGCATTTTTCTAACATTTGTCCATTGGTATTATGTCTCCAATTTTTACTTGCAACCCTGTTTGGCCTCCATTCTCCAAAAATACATTTTTTTCTTTCTTATTTTCAACTACACATTTTTCAATAAAAAAATATTACATATAAAATTGAAACTTTTCTTATTTTTTAACCACACATCCTCCAAAATTTTACCATTCAAAAATGTATTTTCCCCACAAATACATTTTTAATGGACCCCAACAAGGGCATATTATTTACAAACTAATTTACATTACAGGGATGAATAACCATTTAAGGACGGTGAAGTCATGACAACTCTTGAAACCTGTTTCTATTATTTAGTTTTGAAATCAGCAATATTTTTCAACAATCTACAATAAAGAAAGCGAGGCAGGCTAAGATTCGATGTGAAGTTTGATGTTGCACCATTTTTAACTATTATAGTAATTGTTCATATTATTTTATGGTTAAGTCAAATTGTATTTACTTTGTTGAAACTCAATGAGTGTCTTCAACTTATATTTTGATGGAATTTAAAAGATTATAAATTTTAACGAATTCGTGAATCTGAATAGATTTTCACAAAATTTATAAAAGTCTCATTGAAAATGGTTAAATTTCAAAAGAATTTATATGTATTTTTAAGCATGAAATACATCCAAATCTTTAAAATTTTCTATTAATGAAATCATTTAAAAAGTATGTGAGTTATTGAGAATACTTAAATTTTAAAGGATTTCATTGAAATTTATTAAAATCTTAGTTAGCGACACCTAGATTTTAGCTGATTTTCATTAAAATCTCAGCTTCTATTTGGTAGGCATTTTTGTGGAGAGAATGCTTTTTTTTTTTTTGTTGATATGATGAGAAATATGTGGTTGAAAAAGAAAGAAAAATTATTGATGTAATGAAAAATATTATTTTATTAAAGAATGTGTTGTTGAAAATAAGTAGAAGAATGTGAATGAAAAATATAATGTGACTCAAACGATGGCTCAATTATGAATACTTGACTTTAGAACAATTTTTAAAATTTATCAAAATCTACGTTGAGAACACTTGGCTCCTATTTGATTCTCGTTATTTCAACTCATTTTTTTTTCAAACTTATTTTCAATAGCACATTCTCACAATAAAATATTGTGAAGCTAAAAATTTTTCTTACTTTTCAATCGTACTTTCTTCAAAAATTCACTAATACAAAACTTATTTTGATAAAATAATGAGCATCAAAGAGGGCTTAGTAAGAGAATAAACATTTTCACTAAGCCCCAATTTAATAAAAATTAAAATTTAGATTATAATTGAAGTCAAAGTCAATAATTAATTTNCTACAAGCCAATGCCAGAAAAACCTTTGTCATAAAAGGTACCATTACCATGTGCATGCGACACTAATTAGTAAATATTAAAATTTAGATTTTAATTTAAGTTAAAATCAATAATTAATTTTAATTATATATTTTATGTGATTCACAAGTTTTTAATCACATATTTCATCAACTTCTATAAAAAATTACTAAAATTCTGATTTTAATCCCATTGGGGCTAAGCTTTAATTTGATCATTGAAAGGGTCAATTCTTGATATTTACGGGTAGGAAAGTTCATGACTTGAAAGTGCAGGGTAGTGGTAGGCCCAAGACTGGCCTAAAGTCATGTTGTGAATTTGAATTGATTGGTGAACAAGTTGAGCATAGTGTCATTTTCGTGCTTTGCCGGGTTTTTGTGGGGATCCAATGCACACCACTTATCGGTCTGCACAAGGACAGGCGGGTATGACATTTCAAATTCAAATAGAAGCTTCTGAAAAGGATAGATAGTAATTGAACAGCCTCCAAATTTATGATTAGGCATATGGTGACACGAATGGTGTGTTTGAGGTACATTATTTTGGATGAATGTATTTTAAGATAATGGATTGATGGAGAATGTGTGATTGAAAAAGAATGAAAAATTATTGATGTAATGAAAAATATTATTTTATTGAAGAATGTGTGATTGAAAATGAGTGGAATAATAAAAATAAAAATTTTAATGTGACTCAAACAAGGGCGAAGTACAAAAAAATGCTCATAAGATATAAAGTTGATCATTTTGAACTCCTTAACTCCTAGTCTTCTAGATTGGTTAGGTCTTCTGATTAAAAAAGGATAGATGGGTCCATGTCATACAGTCATAGATAGAAGGCAAATAGCTTTCGATTTTCTAAAAGAATAAAATAAACCAAAAAAGACTTGCAAGTAGCGAAATAGACAAATATAGAGATCCAATCAAGAGTAATGCTTTTTAACAATGCTCTCTTGTTGTTTGTTTGGTGGAATGACATTTAATATCTAACTGGACTGAAGAAACTTGAGGCACACAAACTTTCCATTTGATACACGACCGCAAATAAAGTACTTACTCTAGTTATAATTAATATAAAAGAAATGACATCAGATCGACAAAAATTTTAAGTGTACGATATCGTAGCCAAGTAATAGAATTGTGAATAAGATATTGATTCCACGAGGACAGTGCACTTACTCTAGTTATAATTAAT